CCCCAAAACCCCAAAACCCCAAAACCCCAAAACCCCTAAAAAGTCAATAAATTTAATATAAATTATTTCTAGCATGAAACGTTCCCAGAGCCAGCCTGAGATCAGCAAGTACAGGTACCTTGAGGTCGGCAGGACCATGATTGGCATCCTGAATAAGAACTGACCAAATGGTAAGTGCTCTAGTGCTTTAGGATCCCAGCTTTTATAGACCAAACAGAAGTATCTGGACAGTATGATTATAAGAAAACTTTTAATAATTTCATGACTAATTATAAATAAGACTATGAAAGATATTAAGAGTAAATATTTTTAGTGATTTTAGCAACACTTTGTGACCAGAACAAGTCTAAAATTCGGTATTTTGGCACCCTAATTTTGTAGGGCAAAAAGAAGACTTTCAAACGCAACAGTTAGTGTTGAAAACCCTGAGGGTTTTGACTCTCTTAACGAATCGACTGAGTTTGAAAAGAGATGGAATCGGTCAAAGCATCATTTAATTAAGCTTTCAATGATTGATAAATAAAAGCAAATCAAGAGAAAAACTTATCCAGATTGCCCTGAAGCAAAAGGATGTCCAAATGCTATTGAATATGAAGAGTAAAGTTGAAGACGAGGAAATTGAAAGGTACTCTCTTGTTCTAAGTCTAGCGATCGAATTCTTGAGGAAGATTTTGATATTGACAGATATTTGAAATAAAGTCGTTAAGAAGTTCAAAAATGTACCCTCAAGTTTTATCTTTAGAAAGCAAGGAAAAATAGAAACAAGCAACAGCAAAGTATTCCTAAATTAAGGAAAAGCTCCTCGATGCCGGCTAATGTTGAAAATCGCGAACATGTTAACAATGAAGAGAATGATAAACTGTTCTTTTTCTTAAAGCAAAAACATAGTTTGCAGGATCTTTGAAATAGTTTTTACATAAAATTTAGAGACATAAGAAAATAAATTTAAAGGACATGATATATCGCAGAATCAAGGATTGATGCAGTTATTTGAATTTATTTTTACTCTTCCAGAGGTAAAGCAAGATAATATCCAGGATATCAATCAAGATCAGAAAAATGGTGCCGAAGATATTGCAATCATGAAGGAAAATGTGCTTAAAGATCGATATCTGAGGGTTAAATGCTTCTTAGAAATCTTAAATGATCCTCAAATTACTCAAAATCAACCCAAAAGTGGACTATTTTTGAACAAAATATCTCCTTGGTTCCCAATATTTCCTCAGGATATAGTAAAACTGGTATTTAGTTTACATAAATTTACAGATAGAAGGGTCACGAAAGCACACGAAGGAGGAAAAGAAAGAGCTTGTTAAGCTTTGTAGGCTATATAACAACAACAAAATCGATAAAATATCTATTATTCCAGAATCTGATACTAAGAAAAAGACCAGGATCTACTTAGCTCATTTGATTAAAGAGTTGGGCAAAAGGCATTTGTATACTAAAACAAAGCCCAGCTTGAGAGAGCTCAAAGTTATATGAGAAAACATCGCTAAAAAGAGCTTAGAGAGAACTCTGGAGAAAAAGAAAGTCAAAGTTATGAAGAAAAAATTATAAATAAAGGAAGATTGAATAGAAGGAGAAATTTGATAGTCAGAGCTCCAAGTCAACAAATGGTAGATTTGGCCACACCTATCTCAGGTGGAAATATTCAGCAAAATAAGTCAAGGTACTCTTGCGAATCATTGTTTAGGTCGAGGAGAACTGCTATTCAAGGAAATTTAGGGCTATCAGCTGAGTTCTTGGAGCAAAGTAAAGCCCAACATAGATTGATGATGAGAAACAAAGATCCAGATATCTCATCATCTAGTTCTGGGTCTGATACTCCAAAACCTAAGGTAATGAAGCATGCTCATCCAAATTTGACTACTTCAAAATTGAAGGAAGCTTACCGTGATGGACATGTACAAGAAGTGAATCGCATTATGATGACCGATTGGAATAAGAATATTCATAGTTGTCTTGACTTGCATCCTAGTGCATTATAATTTAGTTTCAAAATTGCAGATCATTTCAATAAAAATATTAAATATTGGGGTTTTGGGGTTTTGGGGTTTTGGGGTTTTGGGG